CATTTTGTCCTAGGCACACGTCGATTAGACACTAGGCCTGTTGTATATGAGCACGTGTGTGTGTGTGTGTGTGTGTGTGTGTGTGTGTGTGTGTGTGTGTGTGTGTGTGTGTGTGTGTGTGTGTGTGTGTGTGTGAGTTAGTTACCATTTTGTCCTAGGCACATGTCGATTAGACACTAGGCCTGTTGTATATGAGCACGTGTGTGTGTGTGTGTGTGTGTGTGTGTGTGTGTGTGTGTGTGTGTGTGTGTGTGTGTGTGTGTGTGTGTGTGTGTGTGTGAGTGTGTGAGTTAGTTACCATTTTGTCCTAGGCACATGTCGATTAGACACTAGGCCTGTTGTGTATGAGCACGTGTGTGTGTGTGTGTGTGTGTGTGTGTGTGTGTGTGTGTGTGTGGTGTGTGTGTGTGTGTGTGTGTGTGAGAGTGTGTGTGAGTTAGTTACCATTTTGTCCTAGGCACATGTCGATTAGACACTAGGCCTGTTGTATATGAGCACGTGTGTGTGTGTGTGTGTGTGTGCTTGCGCGTGTGTGTTTACAAACAATTTAACTACGTAATTGGCTCTCTCTCTGTAACATTGACCAATGGTTCCCAATATACACATTGTATCTTCATTAAGAGCGACGTACACGGTCCCTTTTGTACCAATTCAGACCATGTAGTTGTCCCTCTGTTACCTTGTTGCCCGTATCTGCTGTATAACTTCCTGGTGTGTGTGTGTGATTATATATATATATATATATATATATATATATATATATATATATATATATATATATTATTATTATAATATATATATATATTATATACCAGGTGACTGATAAGTTAGAATGTACACTGGGTGTATGTACACTGAGAGATACATACCTCTCGGTGTATATACAGTAAGAGATATACACCTCTCATTTTATATACACTGAGAGATAAACACCTCTCATTGTGTATGCACTGAGAAATACACACCTCTCAGTGCATACGCTACAGCTATTTTATGTTAGCAAGTTTCTGTATTCGACTTCTGGCGGGAAACATGCTCGCTGAGTGGCTCTCCAGCTATACAATTTGGTAAAAAAATTAGTAAACACGGCCTGAAGTGCTTGTGTGTCTCTCTTCACGGGATAACCTTATGTTGTGAGAGCTCCGCGGGATTTCACCCTGTTTACCCAGTAAGCAGATGGTTCCTAAATAGCCTTAAAGCCAGCACTGTGTATCCCTGTGGAGAAAATGCTCTCAGAGTGGTTTGTTTATGTGAAGAAAATGCTCTGTGAGTGGTTTGTTTATGTGTTATGAAAATGCTCTCTGAGTGGTTTGTTTATATGTGGAGAAAAGGCTCTCTGAGTGGTTTGTTTATATGTGGAGAAAATGCTCTCTGAGTGGTTTGTTTGTGTTAAGAAAATGCTCTCTGAGTGGTTTGTTTATATGTGGAGAAAATGCTTTCTGAATGGTTTGTTTATGTGGAGAAAATGCTCTCTGAGTGGTTTGTTTATATGTGGAGAAAATGCTCTCTGAGGTCCAGGAGGAAAAAAAAATAGTTTTCTCAACGTTTAAGTAAATTCTGTGAACTAAAATGGGGAGTATAACAATTTACTGCTTCATGTAGCAAGTGAAAGTAAAATTACAGTATTTGTGCTAGTGGAGACTTTTACAGTGTTACCCTGTACCTGTTTCTTCTGCTCACCTAGCAGTAAGTGGGTACCTGTGTTAGTCTCCTTGCACCTGTTGTTCTTGCTCACCTAGCAGTAAGTAGGTACCTGTGTTAGTCTCCTTGCACCTGTTGTTCTTGCTCACCTAGCAGTAAGTGGGTACCTGTGTTAGTCTCCTTGCACCTGTTGTTCTTGCTCACCTAGCAGTAAGTGGGTACCTGTGTTAGTCTCCTTGCACCTGTTGTTCTTGCTCACCTAGCAGTAAGTGGGTACCTGTGTTAGTCTCCTTGCACCTGTTGTTCTTGCTCACCTAGCAGTAAGTAGGTACCTGTGTTAGTCTCCTTGCACCTGTTGTTCTTGCTCACCTAGCAGTAAGTAGGTACCTGTGTTAGTCTCCTTGCACCTGTTGTTCTTGCTCACCTAGCAGTAAGTAGGTACCTGTGTTAGTCTCCTTGCACCTGTTGTTCTTGCTCACCTAGCAGTAAGTAGGTACCTGTGTTAGTCTCCTTGCACCTGTTGTTCTTGCTCACCTAGCAGTAAGTGGGTACCTGTGTTAGTCTCCTTGCACCTGTTGTTCTTGCTCACCTAGCAGTAAGTGGGTACCTGTGTTAGTCTCCTTGCACCTGTTGTTCTTGCTCACCTAGCAGTAAGTGGGTACCTGTGTTAGTCTCCTTGCACCTGTTGTTCTTGCTCACCTAGCAGTAAGTAGGTACCTGTGTTAGTCTCCTTGCACCTGTTGTTCTTGCTCACCTAGCAGTAAGTAGGTACCTGTGTTAGTCTCCTTGCACCTGTTGTTCTTGCTCACCTAGCAGTAAGTAGGTACCTGTGTTAGTCTCCTTGCACCTGTTGTTCTTGCTCACCTAGCAGTAAGTAGGTACCTGTGTTAGTCTCCTTGCACCTGTTGTTCTTGCTCACCTAGCAGTAAGTGGGTACCTGTGTTAGTCTCCTTGCACCTGTTGTTCTTGCTCACCTAGCAGTAAGTGGGTACCTGTGTTATCTCCTTGCACCTGTTGTTCTTGCTCACCTAGCAGTAAGTGGTACCTGTGTTAGTCTCCTTGCACCTGTTGTTCTTGCTCACCTAGCAGTAAGTAGGTACCTGTGTTAGTCTCCTTGCACCTGTTGTTCTTGCTCACCTAGCAGTAAGTAGGTACCTGTGTTAGTCTCCTTGCACCTGTTGTTTCTTGCTCACCTAGCAGTAAGTGGGTACCTGTGTTAGTCTCCTTGCACCTGTTGTTCTTGCTCACCTAGCAGTAAGTAGGTACCTGTGTTAGTCTCCTTGCACCTGTTGTTCTTGCTCACCTAGCAGTTGTAGGTACCTGTGTTAGTCTCCTGCAGCACTGTTTTTCTTGCTACTCTAGCAGTAAGTGGGTACCTGTGTTAATCTCTTGCACCTGTTGTTCTTGCTACACTAGCAGTAAGTAGGTACCTGTGTTAGTCTCCTTGCACCTGTTGTTCTTGCTCACACTAGCAGTAAGGGTACTGTGTTAATCCTCCTTGCACCTGTTGTTCTTGCTCACTAGCAGTAAGTAGGTACCTGTGTTTAGTCTCCTTGCACCTGTTGTTCTTGCTCACCTAGCAGTAATGGTACTGTGTAGTCTCTTGCACCTGTTGTTCTTGCTCACCTAGCAGTAATTAGGTACCTGGTAGTCTCTTATGACTGTTGCTCCTAACTCGACGCATCCTTCTTGGTATATCTTTATATCCTGGCTGGTTCATTATTTTATTAAATATTTAAGTTTTTGAACGACGCTTATCGTATCATGAACACAGTGTTACATGACCTGTGATACCTGGCAGTAAAGAAGAAACACTAGCAAGGGGACAATTAAACCAACCGAGAAATGTTCAAGAGAAAAGCATACAACAGAGGCTGTTGTTTGAGTACTCGTGTATTCCCACCACTAATTATATTTACAGTTTGTACACGAGCATTTTGGTAGATACTGTATTGGAGGTAATTTAAACGAGAGATCAGGAAGAATACTTTACCTGGCTAGAGCTTAGACATTCATACATAGAATTCTGCAATGTTTTAATCAGCTGAAATCAAACAAGGGTCTGGTTTTCAATGCGAATTTTAATTACAAGAAAAGCTAGCTTGCAACATAGATTTAGTGGATAAATTAAGCACCTTGACTGACTTAAACGATTTCAACATGATTAGTTTTGATGCTACTTCGTTGTTTACAAAAGTTCCAGTTGATGATTTATTTTCTTATCTGAAGAACTTGTTAATTACGATTTACCATTGCCAATTTTTACTATCATTTAACTCATTAAACTTTGTATTGTTGGTGTAAAATTTGTGTTTAATGACGAGTTTTACATTCAGACATTTGGTATGGCAATGGGAAATCCTCTCTCACCTGTTCTTAGTAATTTATTCATGGAATTTTTTGAAACAAGATTGCGTAACACAATCCTTCGTAATAGAGCTATGTGGTATAGGTATGTTGGTGATACTTTGTGTCTTATGTCCAAGGCTGTAGATATAAACCATTTCCTTGTTAAATTAAATAGCTAATGATCTAAAATACCCAAGAAACTTATTTGATAAATCCTTTAAAATACCTGGAAAAAATTTTATAATTCAAAAAAGGGACAACAAACCTTATTCAACTAAAAATATGTTGGTTCTCCCTTACCATGAAAACTTGGTTGAAATGCCTTCTCTACTTTAAATTTTTAATATCAAAGTTATATTTAAAAATCTTGATATAGGTAAAAAAAAATTGATAAAAAATTCCCGGCAAATGCTGATGGATGTGTCTATAAGATTCCTTGTCAAATTTGTGATAAAGTTTATTACGGTCAAACTGGTAAAAGTCTTGAACTAAGATTAAAATAACATAAATATAGCATTAGAACTGGACAAGATTCTAATGCTCTGTTTATTCATGTGAGAGATTTTAACCATCCAGTTGATTTTTAAAAGACTGAGAAAGTTGTATTAAGAAAGTCGATGGTCGATACAAATATTATTGAATCTTGTTTCATAAAAAGCAGTTTTGAAAATAATATGAATATTTCTTTTGGTTTATATAAATTGGATTTATTTATAATAAAATTTGGGAAGAATTTAAGGTACATTAGACAAACTTTTGGGTAGAATATAAGCTGTGTTTCACGGGTCACTGACTACCTACCTAAATCATCATAAAAAGTCAGGTGTTGTTGTGGGGTGGCAGTGAGGTGTAGTCTCGTCCTTATATGCCTTCATGTTAACCTTTTATTTTTATAGTTCCTTGATAATATGTGAGAAGTCACGAGAGCGCTTGGAATTTCACTATTTTTTCA